TATGCATTGTCAGTCGTCGACGCAAGCTGGAAACACATGAGCATGTCTTGGCAAATTGTACAAGATTCTTATTCGAGAAGACCCAACGCATCAAGTCGAAACTCTAGCAATCACTGCCAAAGTCGATGCTCATCGACGTGTCGAGCAACACATTGGGCCCTGCAATCTTGCGAAGCGTCTCGAGAGTCCTACAACATCCTCTCAAAATGTGATAAATAGTCACAGATAGCGTACGTGGGCGGAGCTGGTAGCACCAATAGCATCGTATGCAGACGTTCATAGACCAGACTCTTGGAGATCAACCGACCTTGGTACTCGAAACAGCTCTCCGTGCGGGCGTGCCAGTGCCCTAAACACTCACATCATCACTCGCTCGTTACTAGCTTGCGTACCATTGAGCACCTCGACGAGGGCTGCGACCAGCGTCCCGAGCGTTTGCCGGACCAAAGGGTCTTTCGACTCGAAAAGGAACGGCTCCAACAAGGCTTCCGTCAAGAGAGGCAGCTGGCACAGCAGTTGACGACAGCTCATGGGACTCGTGCCCTGCATCATCGTCACAAGCAGCTCCATGGCGGGCTGGTGACGCAGCACAGCCGTCTCGCCACGCAAGTACGGCAAGAGCAGTGGCACGTACGTCGACGGCTGCGCAAAGCGTCCGCAGCACTCGCCCACGATGCGCAATGTCGATGCAATCTCTGCATCGTGCCAGTTGGTTGTCAAGTGCGCAACCAAGTGGTGCAAGTCGACCGTGATCGTGTCTTCGCAGTAGACGAGGAGGCACAGCAGCAGGCGCGCCGCATGCATCCGCGTTGGGCCTTGCCAATGCGAGAGTTCTCGCAACAGCGTCTAGACGCCGTAGATTGTACAACTTGTCATGTACTGTGAAGACTCGTACGTTGATGAACCGCCGGCAGCGACCGCGAATGTACAAGCGCGTTCCGAGGCTCGGGCGGCCGGTAAAGGGTGGTGGGTACGGCGCCTCAAAGTTGCAAAATGCACTGCCGTCCACAGCGTACTGCGTTCGCTCAATCACCTACCCGCAGCGGTTAGCTTCGTAATCTATCAATGTATCAAGTCGAGACATCGTCCGGGTGTTCTTGCGCATATCGCTTGCCCAAGGCGTCCATCGTCGCCATGGCCACTTGTGAGATCTCGGCGCATTCGTCCGCGACCGCACTGGCACCACCATGTGAGCTTCTATCCGGCCCAAGGATAGAAGATTTGTACCTTAGCAAGTAGGGCATGAGGCGCGGTTCGTGGTCGTATCGGTCCGGAAGGTGCGTGAGCCACGCCATGATGGTATCGTAGAACGCCCGGCGAACACTCACATTGGCGTCCTGGTCGAGCTTGGCAAAGACGTTGACCTTGACCTCGTGCGTGTAGAAGGCCGAGACAGGGATGATGTTTTCATCTTGGTATGCGACAAGGTCGGCGATGGCTTCGGTGCCACTGCCCTTGCACTTCTCGACGTTGGGCACCATGACAAGCTCCCGGATGCAGCGCATGGCGGCGGCGCGGACACGTGCGAGGCGGTGTTCGAGCAGGTGCTTGGACGCACGGACTAAGGCGACGCTAAAGTGCTTGAGCACCGACACCATGTTGTGCGCAAGGAGCACGAGCGCATCACAAGATCGGATCGCAACGTCCGGGCAGTGGTCGTGGACGCCGAGAACAAGGACGCAGAGGATGTCGTAGACGTACGCGTTGAGCAGCGACGATGCTTGCTGGGTAAAGAGTACCTCGAGCAGCGTCTGGAGGAGCGCAATGAAATGTCCTCGGACTTCCTCGGACGGTTCGCGCGGCTTTTTGTATGGGCCGACGTCGGTCTCGGGGACGAAGATGCGACCGCGCTCGTGGGCAGCCCGCAGCGTCTCGCTCGCGAGAAACACTTGGAGCTTCTCGTCAAAGCTCCATGGACTGCCGAGGCGCGTGACGAGAGCTGGCATGAGGTATGGTAAGATCGGAAGGAGGTTATCGTGGTGGAGAAGAAAGGTGGTCGTGAGTTGAATGCTCGTGTCGCGCACCTTCTCGACCGGATCGTTGAAGCGCTTGAAGAGCGGCTTGGCAAAGGACGGGAAGAGCGCGGGAAGGATCGAGGGCGGCGCGGCCGCAACGACGGCCGATAGCACTGCGATCGCCCGCTTGCGCACGCCTTGTTGCTCGTCACTGAGGCAGTTGAGGTCGCGCTGGTGCTTGGTGAGGATGTCGTCGGCTGTGAGTGTCATGGCAGCCACATCGTCGCCGAGCTCGTCGAGGTCGCCGCCGCAGCCTGTCTCGACGGCCGTCGGGACCTCGATGGACCGAGTTGCATCGTCCTTCGCCACCACAATGGCCTTGGGCGGCTTCTTCGTCTTCTTGGCCTTGCTGCTCGGAGCGTCCTTCGGGGGCTTGGCGCGGAAGGCCACGGGGCGGACGTCGTTCTCGCGCTTCATCGCGGCCCAGACCTCGTCCATGCTGCTCATGGCTCTTCACAAAGATCAAATCTAACACGCTGCAACACTCGGGTGAAGTGGCACAGCGTCGATGGAATGTTATAACACGCAGGCTT